GGATGTCGGAATATTCTTCATTCTTCTTTGTTGCTGTTCAGTTGTGTCTGACTCTTTGTGATTCCATTTGGGATTTTCTTGGCAGAGATACTAGAGTGGTTTGTCATTTCCTTCTCCAGCTCATTTTACAGATGAGGAAACTAGGACAAACAGGGTTAAGGGATTTGTCCAGGGTCACACAGCTAGTAAGTGTCTAAGGTTGGATTTGAACTCAGATCCTCTTGACTCCAGTGCCAGCACTCTATCCACTGTGCCACTTAGCTCCCCCCAACATGTATTAGCTCTAGAATTACCAGTTATCCAAGTAGGAGGGAGAAGTACTAATCTTTAGATGTGGAATGTTATATAGGCTCACAGTGTCAAATGGTTTTGCTTAGCCTTTTGCTGTTAAAAGGGAAGATCTTATGAAAGGGGATCTCAGTTTCCATCCACTCATCCTCCACATCTAGGCAGCTCTCTGCAGGTCCCTATTTCTCCCACCTTTTCTGCCACCTCCTATAGATGCTAACCTGTTGTTGCTATATAGATTTTTCTAATCATATCAGAGGACTTTCAGCTCTTTTTAGCACATAGACAGGACCATCTTACCATATTGTAATTTAAAGAGCATAACCACAGCCAAGGAGAAGCACTCAAACTTAGGTTAAATTCATATTTTAAAAACCCTTTGCTTCAGAGGTGATGCTCTGTGAGATCAGTGCTTTATCTGAATTAGAATGAAAAACAAAATCCTTCCAACTACTTTCTACTCCCATGATGCCAATAACGGTCCTTTCAAATCATCACCCCTCCAAGAGCTTCAGTGAGCTAGAAGGGCAGGGATGTTGGAGCTAAGGACCAAGTGACTTTAGGTCTTATATTCCTGGCAGCAACAAAATCATTGTTCTCTCTATACATGAAATGGAGTTGTGGTTATGGTGGTGGTGGTGGTGGTGGTAGTGGTGGTTATCATCAATGTTGTTATCCTTCAGACTGTGAAATGCTTTTATGTGTGAGTGTTGCCATGATCATTTTAGCTCTTGGTCCTTTCTTTCTAGTCATAGTAGCATTCAGAATTCACTAGGGATGCTACTAGACACTGAGACTAGAATGATCACATTTGTTATCATTCTTGGTGATTTGAACAACTTTCTTTTAAATGTGAGTTTCTATTTAATATCCTTGTAACGGGTAAGGTCCTTAGGATCCTGGAGCTGCTATTCTTTTAATCTTAATTCTGATCTGAGGCATGCTAGCTGATTAGTCTCTTAAGAGTCAGACCTACCTTCTTCAAGTTGAGAGGAAATACAGGAGTCTGATCCAAGAGGCTTTGCTTATTAAATCAAGGGGGTTGAAGGTGAATCAAATAACCCTCCCCCCTCCTCATGATTTCAAGGCCTCCCAAACATTACAGACACATTATGTGAAACTGTTATTCTATTTTCCATGTTTTGTCTTTCCTTTGAACACTTCAAATAGGAATTTGGGTGTAAGGGAATTTTTATGATTTTTTTTTAAGAATTAATAGACCACCTACTGCCACAAAGGATTTGAAGAGGCTTCAATAGGAATTGTATTTTGTGTATCTATTGGAAAAAATCTGATCCTCTGTGTGGCATTAGTATAAGCATGTCTCATGGTTTGTGAATCATGACTCTTCCACTTCTTCCAGTAAAAAGAACTGTACTACCCTGGGCTTTTTTCCCCAAGGACTTAATAGGAGGAGATTACAAGGTGGTTGCTTAATAAAGGAGAACAGAGGTGACACATAGACATGACCAGACCTGTTATAACCACATTTTCTAGTTTTTATTCAGAGTGACTTGAACAAGTGTCCTTTAAATATGAGCTTCAGCTTAATGTCTTTGTCATGACTAGGGACCTTAGAATCCCTTGGAATGGTGTTCTTTGTTTCTTGGTTCTATCTTGGGCTATATCTGGCTAACAAACTTTTAAGAGTTAATTAATTGTGGGGGCAGCTAGGTGGCACAGTGGATAAAGCACCGGCCCTGAAGACAGGAGTACCTGAGTTCAAATCTGGCCTCAGACTAAACACTTGACACTTACTAGCTGTGTGACCCTGGGCAAGTCACTTAACCCCAACTGCCTAAAAAAAAAGAGTTAATTAATTGTGTAGCAATCAATCTATATTGTTCCAGAGCAACCAAACTTTGAGCCAGATTTAAAAACTGTAAAATTTTTCTCATCTTGGCCTTCTTTTCCCCACTGTTGCTACATATTTCTATGCATAAATTTTCCCCAACATTTTAAAGTTTCTCTTTAGCTCAGGTGATCATTTAACCAATGAGTATTGACTGAGTACCTACTGAAATGCTTAGAAACCTTCTAAGTTCTGGAGTGAGTATGGAATAGTAAAAGGCCTAGTGCTTGGCCTTGAAGATATCAGGATCAGAGGCCAGATTCACATACCTGAATTAATGGCAAACAATATAAAATATCTGTGTCAGTGTTAAAGGGTATGGGGCAGACTAGAAATGTTCAGTGAATGGAATGATCAGTGAGGACTATAATATCAAGCCAAGATTCCTGGAAGAGGTGACACTTGAAGTATGGGTAGACTTTCAATGGGAGGAAGAGAGAAGCGAGAGGAATGAGATGAAAGACAACATGGGGAGAGATATGAGAAAGGTGCATTCAAGGGAAAAGGAACCAGCAGTTCTGTGATTCATTATTCTCTAGGGTTTTTTTTCTTGGTTTTTTTTTTTAAAAAGGCTATAAACTTCAGGTTCTTAAGTCTTTTAAATGCATCTTATTCATTTCAATAAAAACTATTTATGGTATACTGTGAGTAGGCATGGCCCCATCTATACTACAGGTATAACCCTAAGCACATCATTTAACCTCTCTGCGCCTCGGTTTCCTTATCTGTAAAATGATAGGGTGTGACTTGGTAATTCTAGGGTCCTTTTGAGCTTTAAATCTATGATTCTGTGATGTGGGTCCTTGCTACACTGGTAATGTTCCAATCCCAAGTAATTTGTTTTGTTCATGCCCCACCTACCACAAATCCCCTGAGAAAATATACTCAACACACTGGAGGCCTTTTTCTGGGTCTTTTTTTTTAATATTTAATGCAGCAATTGGGGTATCTACTAGTCATCCCTCACTCTTGATGTACACCTAATCCATCTTCTTTTTTTAATCTAACATTTCTTTGATGTTATGAGTGTGGTGTAGTAGAAAGAGGATCTGAATTTAAATCAGCTTCTGCTATTTCCTGCCTCCGTGACTTTGGGCAAGTCAATTAGTCTCTCTGGGCCTCAGTTTCCCCATTAGAAAAATGAGAGGGTTTGACTGAATAATCTTCTAACTCCCCTCCAGCTCTAAAGCAATCCTATCTTTTGTTCTGTTTCTTGAGTAGGTCATTTCCAGTAATATGTTGCAGCCTGTTAATGCCTGTCATGTGTCTCTCCATTGCTTTTGGGTCACCCACAATTATTCTTCTTCAGATATTGTGTTGCTTCATTATTTAAAGCCATACAGTATCATCAGGAGAAGTTTATGGAAGGGGAAGGGATAAGCATTTATATAACACCTACTATGTGCCAAATATTATCTCATCTTATCATATTAGTATCTTTAAAGGGTGAGTTATGTTAAGGAAGGCTGAAAGCACTTCACATTTTCCCAAGTACAACCTAGTTAACTGTCTTCCTCCAACGCAATTCTTGGTCCAGCTTACTATCCACTTTTGCCTACCTAAGATTTGTACATGTGTAGGCAGACTAATTCGGTAAATTGCTCATCCAACTGCATGTCATAATAATCATAGCTAGCAGTTATATTGTACTTTAAGGTTTACAAAGCACTTTACAAATATCTCATTTTACCCTTACACCCCTGGGAGGTAAGTGCTATAATTATCCCCATTTTACAGATGAGGAAACTGAGACAAAATGAGACAAATGGAGGCTGTGACTTGCACAGGGTCACAGAGCTCAGTGTTTGAGGCAGGATTCAGTCTAAGGTCTTCCTCACTCCATGTCTAGTGTTCTATCCACTGGGCCACTTAGCTGCCTACTTGCTTCATAATCTAGGCAAGGGGCATTCATCAACCACTTGTTATAATATTTTGGCTCAAATGGTATGGATGGGTAGTATGGATAACAGATTAGCAAATACATGAAAAACTACATTTTGTGAATTTGAAAGGATATAATCATCTTTTATCTTGCCCTGAACTTAACTAACTACATTCTCCTCACCCACTAATCTCCAGTAAAATGTATCTCTTCACCCTGAATACCATTAATTTTCAATGAGAAATGGTCAACATAATCTTCAAGCCAATCTTTTACTATGAAGTGAAGGGGGCTTCGAATTTTAACAATTCCTTTTGGCATTTACTTTAACAAAACTCATCATAAGCACACTCTCCTTTGGCTTCAACAGCTTCAGGTGTCCATTTTTATTTAGAAGGAGATAAGAAATTTGGAAAGCTCCAGAAACAGACTGCTAGGCATGCTTTTGCAAAGTCAATTGGGTTATTTCTTTATTAGTAAAATTATCCTTGTCAGATTAAAGAACAGGGAGAACTTGTTCCTGAGGACATGTCTCATTTCCTGGCAGTGACTTCTCTTCAAGTCTTGCTCATCAAAACCCATGCCCTGTGAAATAGACATCTGTACTTCTAGATCTGGAAAGGCATCATAGTGCAAAGGATAATGACCTTGGATTCAAGTTCCACCTATTGACACATACTGTATGTGTGGCCATGAACAAGTCAGTTAACCTCTCAATGTCCCCTAGATACTACCCTAAATCTGTAAGTTACAAGTTGCTGACCTGTGATAGTGGAAGGAATTTCCCCATCAGAAGTCCCTTATATTGATGAAATCAGAGGTCTAAACCCAAAACACCCCTTAACTCTGTGTGTGTAAGGTATAGGTATAAAAACATATATATAGTTATAAAAACATATATAATCATAATAGTGATTATATTTTTCTTCTTAATTCCAAGAACCCAACTTTGTTCTAACTTTCTCTTAATACTTACAGGTGGTGGTGGAGGTCAATAGTGAATTATGGGTAGAGGTAATGTATGAATAAATTATTTTGACTGAAATACAGATTAAAACAAATGAAAGACAAAAAATACAGAAAAAAACATGTAACATTAAAGTTGAAAAGTTTATGCAAGTAAATGTTTTTATAAGATTTCTGCTAAATTTCTAAAAAAAAATTTACAAACCAGATTTCTACACGTCATATAGTAATTCGTCAAATGTATTCTTCCTTTTGATCATTATTATCTTCCTAAACAAATATATTAAACAACTGTGTAGTCTGAACTCTTAGATATTCTGAGGTGTACAAAAAAATATGAGAGCCTCTAATCTCAAGGACCTTACAACCTTGTCAAAAATATTTAAGTACTTCTTTTGCTGACAAGGTAAACAAAGATTTGGCCTTTGGTCTCTAGGAATTTTCTGATTTCCCTAGCTTAGTGTAAGGACGTGTCTGTTAGCATGAAACCTTTTTAAGTTCCTTTTGGGTTTTTTGAATAAGGTAAAAGAACAAAATGAAGACAATGGCACAATATTGCAGAAGCCCTTCAGAAGGTATAAACGTGAATGGGTCAAATTTGCAAGACCTTGTCGAGAAAGAGAAGACAATTCAAAGAGGAATCCAATTGCTACTGTAAGTTGTACATGAAATAGAAGTATGAGTACCAAAAAGATTAGATTTAATGGGAAATAACAGGAAATAGTACATTTATTGATCATTTAAAATAACAAAAAAATTGTGTTTATTGATTACCTCCTAAATGTTCAGTCCTGGCTTGGTATAGGAGGGGACCCCAACAGAAGAAGACAGGGCCTCTTATCTCTGTCATCATAACTCAGTTGGGGAATGAAGACATATTCATGAAACTGCCAGGGAAGGTTGCAAGGCTGGATATGGCTAAATGCCAAAATTAGCGGTATGAATAATAATTGCTATGGAGTTTCAGGGAAGGGAAGAATCAATATGAGCTGGTATGGTCAGTAAAAGTTTAGGGAGATGAGTACTTAAACTGAACCTTGAAGAACGTAGAATTTTGGTAAGTGGAGGTAAAGTTCTAAGGGAGTCACATGAGCAAAGATTAGTTGGAGTTGAAAATTAGCGTGGCACATGAGGGAGATAGGAAGGGGACTGGTCTGGTTAAAATAGAAGGTTTGTGTTGGGAAGTAGTAAAAGAGAGAGTTGGGCAAGTAGGGTAAGCCCAGGGACAGACCTAGACTATAGAGGGTATCAAATGCCAGAATAAGAGGAGTTTTATAGTCTGGCCTAATCCTACCATCACTTTCTTCTACTTGGCTATTATCACTTAGGAATTAATAAGTTTTTGGTAGGACTACATTACTATATTTAACTGGACTGTATTTGACCTCAGAGGCCATTTAATAAAATCCCTCCATTTCACAAATGAAGAAATTGAGGAGGTCCAAAGAGTACCACAAAGAGTAAGCATCAGAGGCAGGATCTGAACCCAGGTCTTCTGATTCTAAAATCAATACTCTTTGTATGGCTTCCTGTCCCTTCTTCACACCTAATCCCTTGGACATACAACCAGAGGCATTATAAAATGCTTTTAAATAACTGAAAGATCTAGATTCATCTTTGCACATGTTTTAAAATCTCCCTGCCCTGTCTTTAACTTGTGGACAAAAGCATAGTACCCAGACCCCTCACTATAACTCTAGCTCCAATACACAAAGGCCTCCTTAGAAAGCCAAGGTATTATGTATGAAGAACAAATGATCCCTTCTTATCATCACTGGCAGTTTACATGTGAAGTTCCTAAAGTTCTTCAGCATTTTACAGATGAGATAGGAAGTAGGTGGAGATAATAAGCAAGGGCAGAGACACTGTCCCCAAATGGAGAAGGAAATGAGAAATCAGGGTCCACAATGAGAGGTGTTTGGAGTGGGGGAGAGGAGAGGAGAAGAGATTTGTAAATTGTTTTTAAATGTGATCCCCATAATTTTTCCATATATTTTGATGCAGATTAGTTCAGATTTTCAAAAAACCCAGAGAATTACCTATCATATCTCTGGAGTGGGAATTGATCAGCCCCCTTACGGTATCTTCGTTGTTAACCCCAGAACTGGAGAAATTAATATAACATCAATCGTTGATCGTGAGGAAACCCCAATGTTCCATGTAAGTAATGCCCTAATACAGTTCTGAATTTCCCCTTCTGTGCTATGATTGATGATGCCACTCTTCTTTTAACGATTTAGAAAAAGATACTGGTGCTTGCATTATAATGTACAATTAGTCAACTAATCTATAAACTTGCCAATTTAGAGTCATGGACATTTCCTCTGATTTGAATGCCATTTTCATTTTTCTTCTAGATCAACTGCCAGGCTCTGGATGAAATGGGAAGGAATGTAGAGACACCTCTTGTGCTTACAGTTAAAATTTTAGATATCAATGACAACGCTCCAGTGTTCTCACAAAGTGTATTCTATGGTGAAATTGAAGAAAACAGCGCTGCAAGTAAGTCTTCCACAGGACCCACCATTCTAGATTTCTTTCCCCAACTAGGCAACACTGTGGTGAGCTAGATGGATACAATAAACCGCAAATCATATTTCTCAGAATAACCCAGTGAAAGTAGTAAGGAAGCATTTTTCTAATTTTACAAAGAAGGAGGTTCGGATGAAGTGTAATTTATCCAGGATCACGTAGCAAAGTGGCAGGTGAACTGGGGTAAGAGCTTACCATTCCTGAATTTCAAAGTTATACCTCTGATGTATGAGTAACATTCTCTTTGAACTGTATTAATAACATCATTGCATATCATCAGCAGGATATATATATACACATATATATGTATGTGTGTGTATATATGTATGTGTATGTATACATGTGTATATAGTCCCAGTGCTCTATCTATTGTACCACCTAGCTGCCCATGTATACCATGCATATATATGTTATATATGCACATTATAGATAACATATATTATACATGTATGTATATGCACATATAACATCTTACATATTTACATATATAATATAGTTAATATATTTGAACTCAGGTCTTCCTGACTTCAGGGCCAGTGCGCTATCCACTGTGTCACCTAGCTGCCCATATGTATGTGTATGTGTGTGCACGTGTGTATATGCACACACAATATATACTTGTGATACCTATATGTATATATACTATATTATATGTATGTACATACATATAATATATAGTTAATATATTTAAACTTAAGTCTTCCTGACTTCAGGGCCAGTGCTCTATCCACTGTACCACCTAGTTGCCCATATGTATATGTTTGTGTGCACATGTACACACAATATCATATCTGTGTGTACATGTGTGTATATACGTGTGATATATTATATCTATATATACTGTGTATATGCATATGTGATGTGTTGTATATGTGTGATATAATATATTATAAATGCACGTATATATACATATATGTTATATACACATATACATATATACATAGGCAGCTAGGTAGAGCAGTGGATAGAGCACTGGGCCTGTAGTCAGGTAGACCTGACTGTAACAATTGAATACACACACACACACACACACACACACAGAGTCAGACACATAAATACCATATATATATATCTGTCTGAGAGGTAGAAGGCCTTCTCTTCAAGTCCTGCTCATCTAAAATCTATGCCCTTTGAAATAGATATTTGTATTTCTAGACACGAAGAGACAATGTAATGTAGTAGCTAAAGGACCTGGCTTGGAACCCAGAAGATCCAGGTTCAAGTATTGTTTCTAACACACAATAGCTATGGGACCATGAACCTCTCAGTGTCCTAGGCAGCTCTCTAATATTCTAAGTTGCAGAGAAATTGTCAGTCTGCACTACTGAAGGCAATTTCTACATCAAGAGTTCCTTATACTAAAGATTTCTGTCCTGATCCCTCTAATTTTTGGAGCTCTCTCCTTCCTCAAATGATCTTATATTTATTTATCTGCGTACCTATTGAATCAAGTCAAATCAACAAGCATTTATTAAGTTACTCATATGTAGCAAGGCAATAGTCCCTGCCCTCAAGAAGCTCATCATCTAATAGGATGGGGGCAAACAACATTCAAACATTATATAGAAACAAAATATATAAAGATAAAGTAGAAATAATCCCTGAAGGAAGACATTAGTGTTATCAAAGGACTGAGAAAGGCTTCTTGAAGAAGGCAGATTTTTATCTGGGATTTGAAGGAAGCCAGCAGGCAGAAATAAGGAAGGAGAGAATTCTAGGCATGGAAGACAACCAGTGAAAACACACAGAGTGAAGAGGTGGAGTATCTTGGACAAGGAGGCCAGAATTACTGGACTGTACATGGAAGGAGTTAAGTAGAAAGATTATGAAGGGATTTAAAAGCCAAACAGAGGCTTTTATATTTGATCTTGGCAGATGAAATTCAGACCAAGGAGAGTAGGGAGAAAAAAGGAAATAAGGAAGTCTAGGTGGTCTTTGTAATTTGCTTTGAATTAATTCTGATCTATGAAGGTAATGATAAGCTACTGTATTGCCTTAATAAGTGATAAAATTAGTACAGTGTCTAGCAGGGCATATCCCCTGAGATGGGTATGTTTTTAAAAGTCATAAGGAAAAAAGAATTTGATGGCCAGGAGCCAAAAATTCTGCCCTGATACAAGATCAGAAGTGATAGTGAATCAGGCTACTTGGTAGTACTGCCAAAGAAAGTAAACAAGCTAGTCTATCAGGGAACTATATTAAATGTTTGATTAGTCAAAGTGGTTTGCCTGAAGAGGACATGCCAGAATCCTTGAGAAAAACCTAATTAACCAGGCAACTCTGGTGACCTGAAATATGCTGGCAGCCTGCTGAAAGTATAACCTAAATTTTGGTGTCTGGTCTCTACTGAAAAACAGAGAAGGAAGAAAATAAAACCTGACTATTTTACAGTTAACCCACCAATAAAGAGAATCAGGGGCTACTACCTGACAGAAAATGGGACTGGGACATAATAATGCACATATTAATGCACATGGGGCATAATACACAATAATGCACAGTGCCTGGTACATAATAGGTCCTTAATAAATCTTAGTTGACAGACTGACACTAACCAAGGCAGGGTGAAAAGGGCTTTGCCACAGGGGTATCAAAACAGGGTGGTGACAGCTCTTGTAGTATTCAAGAGCATAGAAACAACACATTAGCACCTACTTATTAAGAGTAATTAAAGTCAGAAATTTCAGATGGTGGTTTTGACTCATTTGGGAGTACACTTCAAACCTTGCCCACAGTATGATTTGTGGTACTTGCCTGAGTGCTCTGTTTAAGGGGAGTTAAGATAATTAGATCCCAAGGGCATAACATAGAAGGCTGATGGATACAATGAGAGATTCTCTTTTTGAGAGGACTTTATAAAATAAAATAAAAGCACATATTTTAATGGCAGGAATGCTCATAGTGGCACACATGCAAATATTTTTGATAAGGGAGTACTGCAGATATACTTGCTGTTCAATAAGGAGTGCTGCAGAACTTGACACAGCTCTGGAGAGCCAATTATTAAATCTTCAGCATGACCATTTATACCTTGGAAATCAGAAAATGCTATAAGTCATGGCTTGATTTATTCTTTTATTGATTGTCTAGACTAAAGAAAGTGATAGAGAAAAATTTAATGATATAAATTAAACTTTAAAGTGTGTCATGCATACTTTTTTAAGAGAGCTGGTTGTCAAACATTTACTATCACACCTTTGGGTGTAGAGTTTAGGGAAGGCTCAGTTATCAAAAGATAATAAATCAAGTAGAGTCTCAGACAAGTAAGTATTGGATTAGATGACTTGTAGATGACCTAGAGATTCAGCGATCTGTAACCTGACAGCAGACAGATGATAATCATCCACTTCTCAGGATAATACTAAAATTGGCTTCCCCAGAAACTCTAAACCTAATGAAAATGCAACAGAGTCAATGACAGCCATAAATAGAGGTCATTTGTCCAAAGAGGTAACAAGGAAAGTTATATATATTTAAAGCTAGATGATATTTTAGCAATTATGTAGTCCAACCCCCTCATTTTGCAGAAGAGGAAACTGAGGCCTGCCAAGGATAAATGACATGCCCAAGGTCACACAGGTAGTAACTGGTTTGGATAATTTGTTATTGAGGATGTTAATAGTTATCATTATTAAAATAATAAATGCTAATTTTAGTAATAGCTAGTTCTGCTTGGTTATGTCCAAGTAAGGCAGAAGGTTGCACATTAATCTAAAGAATGAGAGTAGGAAAGCAGAGAACATATCTGACAATAATCCCCTTTGGCCTATGCATACTGAAGTTTCCAGGCAGAATTTAAAAGCATAATCTTCCTCTTTACTAAATTGTGCAAGACCTAATTGGCATGAGTGTAGTAGCAAGATTTACATATCTGGGATACATGTTTTCCAAGGCAAGAAAGAGAGTCAAGGCTGTTGGTTAAATGGAGTAATTAAAGGCTTTTGCTTTTAACAAAGCCTACAGCTAAATTCAAGACAATTTAAAGGTTGTGTCACATGGAATGAAAAACTATAATCGCAGAAGAATTTGAAGATGATTATTAGCTTGGCTTGTGTTGTATGAAGAGAACAAGAAATAATGGTAGTAAATAAAAATGGAGTACATTATAGGATAAGGAAGAGTAAAACACACTCCCTCTAGGAAGCAAAGACATCACCTAGAAATCCCATTTTTTCTAATTCAATTTGGTGTTAATATCTATTTGAAGAAGTTGCAAATGAAAAACATGGGTATTAGACAAATAAACACTAAGTTACCCCTGACAGCTGCGTATCTCCCTCTAGATAGGCTAGGCTGCTTGTTGAATGAATTAGATCAAAAGATAAATAGACAGACAGACAAGAGTATTTATTCAACACTTAGACCTATGTGTTAGGCATTATGCTAAGAAGACATACAGATAGAAGAAAACAAGATAACCCCTGACATCAGGGAGCTTACATTCTAATGGAGGAAAATAACATATAAGAGTTAGCTGTGAGGCAGGGGTGCATACAAAAGGATGGTGTGGAGATGGTTGGGAAGTGACAAGGAGGTAGAGGTCTGGACCCTGGCAAAATAAGACAAAACCTTACCTTTCAAGGCTTGGGGGTAGTGGAAGAAGTGAGCAGGGAGGAGGCAAAGGGTGGTATCCAAGGTTCCGGTGGGAGATGAGGATAATGACCATGGGGCTGAAGGCATGTGTGGAGACAACTGGAAAGCAGAGAGGATGCCTGGACAAAAGAAAAGAGAATTGCTTGACTATTCCAAGCACCAGCCCTACTATTCAAACCCACAGCCTTCTCCCCTTTCTTTGAGCTCCTACAGCACTTCTTACACCTGCCACTCATTGGACGCTAAGTCACAAGCTGTCATATAGTGCTATTTTAATCTTGATGTTGAATGTCTTCCTGCTTTCCACCCCCCAGGCTTTAAGTTCCTGCAGGGCAAGAAGGTATATTTCTTTTGTATCTGCCACCTCCACTATATTCCTGTTATCCACCTAGCACAGCAAATATTGTCCTCCCCCTGCCAAAAAAAAAAAAAATACAGTTATAGCATCAAATTGAATTCATTGGATATGGAATATAATATGAATCTGGACTAAAATTGCTCCAATTCTTAAGTCCAATAAAAGTGAAATCAAGACATTCGTATCCCCTGAAGTAGAAATTTGACAAAAGATTAGGACAGGTTCACTTGACAGCTTCACTTTTCATTATTGTATAATGAAAGATACATGCAGCAATGAAGCACAATGTGCTATATGAAGTATGAAAGGGAAAGGTCATTGTTCACTGGTGAAATCAAAGGCTTCATGGAAGGAAGAAAGGCATATGAAGCAAAAATTTTTAAAAAAGGGAGCAGCATGAAGTAGAGCTGCCCTTGGAGTTAATTAGACCTGAATTCAAGTTCCAAATAGAGTGGGCAACTCTCTGAGACTACAAGTAGCAAGGTGTAATAATCATTCTGGCAATGTAACAATCCTTCTGGTGAAATCACGAAAGACCCTGAAAGTTGTATTTCTTCCTAATTCCAGAAGAAAGGAGCCTACTGGAGGATCAGAATTAGAGGGTGGAATTTTTTCAATACATTGAGAGTTTTAGAAATCTGTCTAGAAAAGAACAGAGGCCACATGTGGCCCTCTCCTCATGTGCAGCCCTTTGACTGAATCCAAACTTCACAGGAAAAATTTGTTCTTTGAAATGTCATTTCATTTCTTCCAATGATTTTTTCATTCCTTCCAAATTAATTTATGTAATTTTCTGCCAAGTTTAATGCCTTCAATTTGATTTGAAAGATGTTGTCACCTTATAAAGGTATCAGAATCTTGTTAGTTACTTTAAGTGAGATGGGAAGTTACAGATTGATTCAATCAGCCCCTGCTCTTACACAGAGAAGGTACCAATGTACATTGGTAAAGGAAGTTTCATCACATGGGAGCTCCCCATAACAATGAAATAACACGCCCAATTCCTATATCTTTGTAGGTAGAATGTGTTGATATGAAATTACAAAATTTTGCTTTTTATAGGAAAAAAAGATTAAATCAAGTCTTTCTCATGAGTTATTTCAATTAAGTCTGCCTGACAGTAGGCCTAATGAAATTCTTCTTTGTCCTTCTTTAAAGTTATTTTTATTGCTTGAATCTCAAATTTAGAAACATTTCCACCCCAAATGTTCACATGTACTATTTCTACCTGACGTGTGGTAGAACCTTCTGAGCTCTTATTGGTCTGATCAGGCACAGTCGGACACACTGTAACTTGACTCCAACATAATGATGTCATTCTGGTCCTCTCTGAGAATGAAGGACAGCAACTATTGCTTGAATCATCCAAGAAATTCCTCAATTCTCCTTCTCATTTTTCTTTTTTAAAATTATTTTTACTATTAACTAGAAAATCTTGCTTTCATTATCCAAATAATACTTCAACTTGTATAGACAAAACCTTGTATATTCAAAGTCACAATAGAATTAAGATATATTGGACATAAAATTGTGCTTCTAACAAAACAAAATAGTCCTCAGTATTTTTGCTAGTGTGCAAAAGTCAGCCCTGGAGACTAGCAAGTGAACATGGCGGGTGTTATCTTAATGAGAGGTTAAATGACTTGCCCAGGGTCATCCATCAGGTATGTATCAGAGGCAGGACTCACATTCAGGTCTGACTTCCAGATCAATATCCTATCACTACATCATTGTTATGGACATCCTTATTTATAAATGTTCATACAAGTCAACTCATCTGACTCTCAGAATCTCAGAGCTGGAAGGGACCTCAGAAACCATCCCTGAACAAGGATCTCCCTTATGCCATTCTCAACAAGAGCTCATCTAGTCTTTGCTTGAAGATTTCTAAATCTTCTACATGTTGCTTTTTCAGCTATCCAGATCCCATGCCTTTAATAGCTTTTAAAATCTGACTCAGTTGACTCCTGAATATATTGCTATATCCGCAAAACATAAAAAATAAGTATTTTAAATAGTAAATTAGGAACAGAATGAAGTTTTGTTGATTCTTTTGTGTGAACATAACATAGCTCTGTAAGTATTCATTTTATTCATTTTTATTCTTCCCTAGATACACTGGTGATGGTGTTAAATGCGACAGATGCTGATGAACCGAATCATCTAAATTCTAAAATTGCCTTCAAAATAGTCTCTCAAGAGCCTGCAGGGCAACCCATGTTCCTCCTAAATAGACACAATGGAGAAGTGCGTTCTATGACCAGTACTCTTGATAGAGAGGTAAAGTAAAAGCATTTTTGGAGACTTCCTTGAAAAGATTTCACTTGAATAAAGGCAGAACAGGGAATTCCCCAGGCTTACATTTCACCAAAAGACAAAAAAGAGAAAGAAAGAAGTTAGAACAAGCCCCGAATTAGTTAGCTTGGGTGTGATTTTGTTGCACAAAATACAACTCTCATAAGGAAAGAGACACAAGTCACCTACATGCTGTGTAAATTTAAATATCTGAGTGGAGACAGAGCAAAATATGAGCCTGAGAGGAAGTATTGGACTGAGAACAAATCCTCAGGTTACCAGAGGAGAGCAGAGATCTTTAAACAAAAAGGAAAGATTTTCTTGGAATTCATTTCAAACCTTCCCTGGAATTTCAAACTGCAATCCTCCAGTCTTCCCCATAAGCTGTTCACCACTACTTTCTTTTTCTTTGCCTAACTTCTTTCAACTTCTCTCCTGCCTCTTTTCTACAATAATGAACCTTCTTTATCACTCTCCTTTTCCCTCTTGAATTCCCTAGTTCTTTTCTCTGCATTGGGTTCTGGAAATGGAGAAAAACAGGGAATCGTTATACGTGAAGTAGAAAATCAATTTCTTCCCTTCCTTCTCAGGGGTGCAGCCCCCATTACCTTCTGCCCATTTCTACTCAAAGAACATCAACTTGTCATGGACTGCCTGTCACACTGTGGTCTACAAAGCCCACAGGATAACAAAGCCGCCTAGAGTCTTTCAATGGGGCATCCCATAAATTCATAACCGTCATGCCCCAGGCCACAAGAAGCAGCAATTAGAAAGTTACCTGCCAAAGATATGTAGTGAAAGCAACTTCTGCTGTGTTTTTTATGATGGCTGACTGACAATTTCCATAGTCCAACTACTAGCTATAGCCTAATACTAATTTCTTTCTGGAGCTGAATATTGAAACCTCTTAGTCAGTAAGAAACATAAAGTAATTTTGTAACATTGTTACTGGACATGTGATTTCACTGATATAAACTCCCACTGAGAGCTTCCCTCTAAGAGTCTAGGTTGGTGCTCTCTCTGCAATTTATAGTCTCAGAGATTTGTCGGGGACCCTGAGAGGTTAAGTCATTTGTTCATGGTTTTACAGACAATATGTATCAGAAGCTGATCTTGAACATAGTTCTTCCAGACTCCAGGGTCAGCTTGCCATCTACTACCTACCATTGCTTTTCCAAAGCACTTCAGTGTGAATACAATCCACACATTTTGCCCCAAATGTGGTTCATATAAATCCCTAGTGCACCCTCTTATCAGTGGTATTTTTCAGTGTTTGACAGTACAATTCTTCCCTTTCAAAGAGTTATTGATTTATACAAAAATATTCTTATTCGGGGTGTTCAAAATAAAATATTTTAAAAGTTCGAATAAATTATTTTCTTTCTTTTTTCTTTTATTAAACTTAGAAATACAGCAAGTATAGCCTGCGTGTAAGTGGTGCAGATCTTGATGGAGCTGGACAGGCAACTGAATGTGGGTGTCAAATTACAATTAAAGATGTCAATGATAATTTCCCAATTTTTACAGAATCACAGGTATGTTTTTACTTTTTGACAAACCTAGGTAGATAGATAGATAGATAGATAGATAGATAGATAGATAGATAGATAGATAGATAGATAGATAAGTAGATAGATAGATAGATAGCTTTGTATTCCTCTCTGCACATTTAGATTGCTAACCTTGCCTGGAACGTCCTGTTTTCAATAGTGCCTAAGACCATTTTGCAGCTCACTGGCACTGTGCATTGCAGTGCCAAGCTTAAAGTCAGGAAGATTCATCTTCCTGAGTTCAAATCTGGTCTAAAATACTTACTAGCTATGTGACCCTGGGTAAGTCACTTTACCCTGTTTGCTTCAGTTTCCTCATCTGTAAAATGAGCTGAAGAAGAAAATGGCAAACCATTCCAGTATCTTTGCCCAAAAAAACCCAAATGCGGTCACAAAGAATCTGACATGACTGAAAAGAACAAACCACAAAAATAACATAGCATTTTATGTTCAATGCATATTTTTATTGAAATTAATTAATTGACACCATTGTGATCATAGGTATGCATTGAGTGGGCTGGGAATGCCAACATACTCTAAGAGAGTATTCCCATTGATCCTTATACTTTTCTCATGGTGGGCAGCACAAAGTCCCCCTCGTAAGTAGAACATCTCCACTTCAAAGAAGAGAAAATAGTGTAAATTCCTTTTAGAAAAAGATTAATAATTTAGCCTTAATAAGTTCTGCAACTCTCTTTTCAGTATTCAGTAAAGATTGAAGAAAATATTCTTAGTTCTGAAGTCTCTCGGTTTCACGTAACAGATCTTGATGAAGAGTTCACAGATAATTGGTTTGCAGACTATTCCTTTACCTCTGGAAATGAAGGAAATTGGTTTGTAATAGAAACAGATGCAAAAACCAATGAAGGAATCCTGAAAGTGGTTAAGGTATGTTGCTTGGGGGGATGGTTTGGGATGACCTCTGATTTGACTGGTGTAGGGGGTTCCCAGTGAGGGAAATTCCAATATAGAACAACTGCAGTTTATACTTAAGAGAATTGTGAGGACACTGAGAAGTTAAATGATTTGTCCAGGGTCACACAGCCATTATTTGTTAGCCACCTTCCATTTTATGAAAAAAATACTAAAATTAGATTCTTACCAATCATAAGCGCTATGACCTTCACAACTAGTATTAAAATTATATTCTTAATGGAAACTACTACATTTACCCAACAAATTCAAGTGAATATACTTGTTCAGTTATTTGTATACTATATTTATCTGAATACATGTGCATTATCACAAGAATTTAAAATAAAATAAATATATTAATGTCACCCACTGTAATTGTATTCAAGTCCAACACTAGGGAAATATGGGTTAAATTTTTAATTATGGGATGGGATAATGAGGCAGTTCTTCCTTAAATGTCCCTCTAAATGGGTTCTAGCTATATGAAATAGCTAGAGCTAAAAGCACAAAAATAAAGACTATCCTTGGAAAGTGGAAATGTCTTAACTAAATCTCCTGGGGGGAAAATAGAGAGAGGGGACTACCAGTGGAAAGGTACAAAGACAGGAGGTAGAATATCAAATACTCTAAGGATCAACAAATAAGTTGGTATGGACAGATGTTAGAGTGGTGGAAGGGAGTAATGTGTAAGAAGACTGGAAAGGTAAGCAAGAGCCAGGTTGTGCAAAGTTTAAATGCTAAATAGGAGTTTTTAACTATTCTAGAAGCAATAGGGAGCTTTTGAAGTTTGGACAGCAGTGTGGTGACATGATCAAACCTGTACTTTAGGAAAATTACTTTCGCAGCTGTGTAGAGGATGGATTAGAGAGAGGGCAAACTTAAGGCAAGGAGAACAATTCAAAGTCTACTGTACTAGTTCAAGCAAGAGATGTTCAGTTGAACACTACTGTAGTGCTTTTGTGAGTAAAGAGGAAAGGGAGACGGTAGTGACAAGATTTGACAACTGATTATATTAATGGGGTAAGTGTGTATGAAGAATTGGCAAGAAAGGTGGTACCCTCAACAGATAAGGAAGCTCAGCAGAGGAGAAGGTTTGGGAGGAAAGATAATAAACTCTGTTTTGTACATGTTGGGTTCAAGATGGTTACCAGACATTCAGTTTAACTCACCCACCCACTAATTCATAAGATCTTCTTGGCATATCAATTCTAGTTTGCCCCACTTTTATCCAATATTTCCCTTTTGATTATGGTATCACTTTCCATTTTGGTAATATAATCATAGGTCATCTCCAACCACTTACCAGCTCTGTGACTAGGGATAAATCACTTCATTTCTATCAGCTTCAGTTTCCTCATCTATAAAATGGAGATAAAAAAACTTGCATTGTCAGATTCGCAGTATTCACAAAACCATAGAACATTAGAGCTAGAAGGGACCTAAGAGAGATAATCTAGCCTAGACACAGCATTTTGTAGGTGAGAGAAGGGCTGACTTGACCAAGATTGCCTAACTAGGAAGTCACAAAAGTAGATGTCAATCCAGGTTTTCTCCCTTCAAGTTTAGTTTTCTTTGGGGAAGGCACTTTGTTAACCTGATGGTGCTATGTAAAGATGAATTATTATCCTTACTTTTTTTGCATTTGTACATAAACCTGAGCAAAAATAAGAAGGTACGATGAGAATTTTCAGGCTAATCAGGCTGCACAGCTTCTCCAAAGTCAATCAGACAAATTCCTATATTGCTAGGTTACCTGATAGTGTTTTCCAGAATGGTAAATGGTCTTTCCTTAGGCTATCAAATAAATGCCCACTTGTCCTATAAGATCATCTCATGCTCATCAAATCTAAGAAATTCTGAAAGTCAAGACAGAGGAATTGCATATATATATATATATATATATAGAGAGAGAGAGAGAGAGAGAGAGAGAGAGAGAGGAATTGCATATATATATTGCATATATATCTGTGAATACTGGAAGGATACTTGGATAGCCTAAGTAGATACCTATTCTCTAAGTATCATATATTAGACTTGGGTTTGAGGAATTTAGGAACCAATAAATGCCTCTCTCTGAACTGTGAAATGGTCTCTTCATTTGGGTTAATATGCAAAGGACATGGATCCATAGCATTGACTACAGAGTATTCTGATTCCCTTTCTATGGCTGTATTGCCAAGAGGAAATAGCACAGGACATGGAATCCCAAGACTTGGTTTCAAGACATGCCTCCTAACCCTTAGTGTGTGACCACAGGCCTATTTTTTTTCATATCTCTGAGTTCCTGCATCTGAAAGATAAGAATAAAAATAAACAAAAATTTAAAGTTGTCTATCTTAAAGGATTAGATATCATTAACACTTCTCTTTTTTTAAACATTTCAGGCTCTGGACTATGAACAATTTCAAACCATGAAACTTGTTATAACTGTTAAAAACAAAGCTCCATTTCACCACTCAGTTATCTCTCAGTATAAAACTCAGTCGATTCCCGTCACAGTTGAGGTTATAAATGTAAAAGAAGGGATTGCATTCCATCCTACTTCAAAGACTTTTACAGTACAGAAAGGCATAAGTTACAAAAAATTAATCAATTATGCTCTTGGAGTATACGCAGCCATTGATGAAGATACTGGCAAACCTGCATCATTTGTCAGGTAAGACTAACTTTCACGTTAATGTTTGTTATTCCTTTAAACTATTTCAGTTTCATGCAATATCTCAGATGAACACAGGCCAAGATTTTAAAAATAATCTATTTTGCATTTAAGATCTTTCACAAATGTGGGGCATGGAAATATGTATTCATAAAACCCAGCATACTCTCCCATCTTACAGCTTAATAATAAGTAGGAAATGATGTTCTTTTATTTCAACAAGTATAAAAGTTGTCTGAAGTTCTTATTTCCCTATAGTTTTAAAGTATTTCATAAAATAAGAGATATAATAAATAAAAACATAGCATAGCATTTACCCAATTATCTTATTGGATAAAAATTCTAAGTAGTAGAGGTTCAACTGTGATTTTTTTTTTAATGCTGACAAATGAAAAAAAATTTTAAATAATCATTGGCAACTTGGAAAACACATTTAAATAGTTCAGTCTTAATGAATAACTTTTTTCAATACAAATTTAATTCATATCCAAAACATACATTTAAAATTTTTAAATGAGCTACAAATTCTAAATTGAATATTTGTAATTAGACAACTTTCATAAAAGACATATAAGACCATAACATCACAGATCTAGAACTTGAAAGGACCTTGAAGGTAGTGTGGGCCAACAGATAAGGAAGTCATATCCACTTTTAAGTTTTTGAATGAGTAAACATTAACAAGACCTACATTTTATGCAAAAATAATTAAATAAATACACTTTTAAAATGTTTGTACCATTTTAACAATTAACAATGTTTTCTATAAACTTTATCAAACCAAAAAAAAAAGTCATTGACTGAGTTCTTAAGGAATATGGAATGACCAGAGTGGAGAAGGATTAATCAAGGGAAGCTTTCTGGAAGAGATGAGCTTTACTCAAGGTTTTGATGGGGAGATACAGATTGGTGAAAGGAGTGGAGAAGACATTCCCAGATCAGGAAAGGGCATATGAGATAAAGTGAAAGCAAGTCATATAGGGAACAGACTAGATTAGTTCTTCTGGAGTAGTGTCTAGACAGATATTCCTCTGGGATTAGGAAGCAGAAAAAAAAGGGGGAAAGAGGGATAGTAAGTAATGAACATTGAGAGTCAGGAGAAGTTATTAGGTTTTACTATGAAGGTTACTGGGAATCACTCTACCTTGTTGAGTTTGTGTCATGATGGAAATGGTGTTGTATAGCATGAATTAAAATTTTAAAGCCCTCTGAACTTAGAATCAGAAGACCTAAGCTCAAGTTCCTTAGCTTTGACACTTACTAGTAGTATGACTGAGGCGAGTTATTTAGTTATTTGAACCTCAGCATTTTTATGTTTAGGGCAGATAAAAGATATTTATTTGGCTTATCTCTCAAGGTTGCTACACTGAAAGCAATGTGATACAATGAAAAGCTCACTGAATTTAGGGTCAGAGAGTCTGGCTTCAACCTAGGTATCTGGATGATAGAGCAAGGAAGTCTAGAGTCAGGAAAACCAGAGTTAAAATTCATTCTCAGACACTTACTAGCTATGTGACCCTGAGCAAGCCACTTAACTTCTGTCTGCCTCAGTTTCCTTAACTATAAAATGGGGATAATACTAGCATCTACCTTCCAGGGTTGTTGTGAGGATCAAATGAGATGACATTTGTAAAGCACTTAGCACAGAGTCTGTAACATAGTTGTTTCCTTCCCTCATATCAGTCCCAGATCAGCCACTTACAACCTCTGTGACCTTTGGCAAGACATTGAGCAAGCCACTTATCTCTGAATCTCATTTAACTCCAGTTGGAGGAATAAACTAAAATGACCTGTAAGGTCCCTTCCAGCTCTAAATCTCTGACTCTCTGTGAAAGTAAATAATTAAATAAATCAGCACTATGTAAGCTGATGGTAACATTAATAAAGAGAGGAGTAGATAGAGAGATAGAATAGGTATTCCTTATGATCCCCCTTATGAATCAAATAAACTCTGGATTCATCCTCTACAATGAACTAAATATTCAACCCACATCTCTACCCCTTCCTGACAATTATCTAATATTAGGCCTCCTCTCAACCACCTAGAAAAACCCTTTAATTGTTTACAATACAGATATCTAAAGATATTAACATAAATTTTACTTCTTTCTGGTACAGGATTTATTGCTTTGAGCAATATGTTCTCCCTTTGTTTATTACAAAATAGACCATAAAGGGAGATTTTTTTCAATTAATCAACAATATTGATTAAATTTTTAATTAACATTACTATACCTACTATGTGCCAGGCAGTATGCTAATACAAAAAGGGAAACAATTCTTATTCTCAAAGAGATTATATTCCACTGAGACAGACGTGTGTTAGTGCATATATACGTATATATATATACACACACACACACACACATACACATATACAGAATAAATACAAAATCAATACAAGGTAGTTTATGTATGTGCATACATATAAATATACATATACATAATATATGCAAAATTAATACAAAGTAGTGAAATATCAGACAGTTCAGTAGGTTGGGGCACTAATAGTTGGGGAATAAGAACAGGCTTCATTTAGAAGGTGGTGTTCGAGCTGCATCCCGAAAGAAGGGAAAGATTCTGAGGCAAAATTGGAAGGGAGTGTGTTTTACGATCTTTCACAAATGCAGTGCATGGAAATATGTATTCATAAAACCTAATATACTATCACATCTTACAGCTTAATAATACATAGGAAATGATATTATTTTCTTTCAACAAGTATAAAAAAAAAGTTTAGTCACTGCTAGGGAGTGCAGTGGATAGAGCACTGGGCCTGGAGTCAGGAAGATCTAAGTTCAAATCCAGTCTCAGACACTTACTATCTGCATGACCCTGGACAAGTCACTTGACCCCTATTTGTCTCAGTTCCTCATCTGTAAAATTGGGGACACACTGGAGAAGGAAATGGAGTATCTCTGCTAAGAAACCCCATGGGCAAGTCCAAGGGGTTACAAATGAATAATTGAACAAGAACAAAGGCTTAGAAAAAGCAGATGGAGTGCCATATGTAAAGAACAGAGCTATCTTGGCTGGATTGTAAAGTGCAGGAAATGAAGTAATGTCTAATGAGATCAGTTGGGCCTGGCTGTGAAAGGTTTTAAAAGCTAAACAGAGGGGTTTAGGTTTTCTCCTACTGTCAACGGTTAGCTCCTTGAGCTAATTGAGGAGGGAAATGACATGGTCAGGAAAATCACTTTGGTAGCTTTGGAGATGGTGAGTTAGAATAAGCCAAGACTCAAATCAGGAAGACCAATTAGGAGAACATTACAATAGTCCAGACAAAAGATGATGAGGGCCTGAATGTGCTGGATATGAGAAGAGAAGAGTCTGGTGCTAAAGATGTCGTGGAGGTAGAGACAACAATATTTGGCAACTACTCAGATATGTGGGATGAGGGAGGGTGAGAAGTCAAGGCTCACACTGAGGTTATGAATATAGGAGACTGGAAGAAGGAGATGCCCTTGACAGAAATAGGGAAGTTTGGAAAGAGTGGGTTTGGGAGAAAAGATAGCAAGTTCTGTTTTGGATGTGTTAAGGGTGAAATTCCTCCTGGTCATCCAGTTTGAAACGATCAATAGGCAATTTGTGATTCAGGACTGAAGATCAGGAGAAAAAAAAAACTGGAGCTAGACAGATGTATGAATCATCTGCATAGATACAACTAAACCCATAGGTACTGATGATGTAAGAGAGACAGAAAGAGAGAAGGAGAAGAAGAGAGACAGAGAAAAGGAGGGGTAGAGAGAGAAAGAGAAACACACAGAGGAAACAGAGAGAGGAGAGGTGGAGAGGATGGAGAGAGAAGAGAAACAGAGAAGGAATAGAGAGAGACAGACAGAGAGAAAGAGAAAGAAAACAGAGAGAGAAGAGACAGAGATAAAGAAGGAGAGGGAGGGAGAGAAAGAGAGAGAAAAGGAGGAGGAAAAGATAAACAGAGAGACAGAGAAACCAAGAGACTATGAGAGTCAAGAGAAAGAAGAGATGAAAGAAAGAGAAAAAAGAGACAGAGGGGGAGAGAGAAAGAGAGAGATGGAAAGGTGGGAAGAAGGGAGAAAGGCAGAAGAGCAGAGTATAGAGAGAAGAAAAGAGGGCCCTAGACAGAGTCTTGGGGTGATACAGATGACTACCCAACAAAGGAGGGGTCAAATAAGTAGGAAGAGAAGCAGGAGAGATTAGTGTCGAAAGAACTTAAAGAAAAGAGTGTACTGAGAAGGAAAAGGATTGTCAAGATTGTCAAATGTAGCAGATAGGTGGAGAAGGAGTAGGATTGGAAGAAGGACCTCAGATTTGACAATTAAGAGATCATGGACAACTTTGGAGAGGGCAGTTTCAATTGAGTGATGAGGTCAGAAGCCAGATTGTAAAGAGTTGAGGAGTGAGTAAAAGGAGAGGAAGTAGAGACAAGTGGAGGAATATTTTTCTAGATATTTGTCTAAAAAGGGAAGAGAAAGATAGTAAAATAGCTTGAAGAGATGAAAGGATCTAGTGAAGATTTTTTCCCCCAGGATGAGGGACTGAAGGCTGTAAAGAGGGAACCTATAGATTATGAGAGGTTCAAGATGGGAGAAAAGAGGGGCGACTGAGGCAGTAATCAATCTTCACAAAAATAACAGTATCCTTTGATAAAAGATCTTGCATAGAACTAATTAATGATTCAAATTATTTCATTTTGGAAATGTTTCACCAAAACAAACTTTTCTTTTTAGAAGCCAATGTTTTATGTATAATTACACCATGAAACAAAATGATGGCTTTCTAAAATCATTTTACTTTTTCCAATGTGGATATGGTCAAGGTCATCACATCCCTCAAAAACCCCACCTTTAAGTTATGCGGCTGCTTACTATTCCAATTATAACTCATTGACATAAAGAAGAAAACCAGGAAGCCAGGCCATGATAGATGTTTAAAGATTATGAAATTATATTTCTCAAATAATTGATAAAATTATTTTGTTTCAGTTCAATTTTCTTTTCTCTAGGGTTCAGATTGTTGTTTATGATTATTATGACAAATAAGGTCTTTTTTGTTCTTTCCACTTATATCACTGTAGTCATTACACATTCTTATTTTCCTGGCTTTGCTAACTTTACTCTGTTTCCATTCAAATCTTTCCTTGCTTCTCTGAATTCTTCATATTTCTGCTACTTTTCTCAAATGTTAATGTTACATAGTCAATGTAAAACTATAGTTTTCAACTGAGAGTATGTAGCATTTTATAATTGCAAGAATCCTCAGGGATTGTTTTTTTCTGTCAAAAACAGATACGCAATGGGACGTAATGATGGTGGTTACTTAGTCATTGATTCAAAAACTGCTCAGATTAAATTTGTTAAAAACCTTGATCGAGATTCACCATTCATAGTCAATAAGACATTAACAGCTGAGATTCTGGCAATAGATGGTAAGCAAAAAGATTTCAATTACTTTTCAAAATATCAATATAATTTACTTAAAATTAAAGATTCAGAAAACCAGACCAGCAAAGGCTTTGGCTCCCAAAGTGTGTTAAATAAAGAAATGATATTTCCTTTTCACATTTATTTCAAATACTATGATACAAGGTTTTGGAGCAAAAAAAACTGTCATAAAAATAAAATGTTGAGTCCATTTTCCTAGGCTACACTATTGTGAACATGGGACCATTTTTAAGAGTATTCTATTTACAGTGAACACATCAGAGACATCCTTCATGAAAGCAGCATGATATTGTGAAAAGAATAGTGGCTTTAGAATCAGGGAACCTGGTTTAAAACCAAGCGTAGGAAGATGTATACCACCTATGTGAATTTGAACAAGTGACTTAACCTCTCTGGGCCTCAGTTTTCTCATCTGTAAAATGAAGTGGTTGAACTAGATGCCTCTGAGGTCTCTTTCAGCTCTAAATCAATAATCTTATGATCCTTGCTTCAAAAAATGATAAAATAATATACAACATGATTTAGTCATATGAGCTGCCCAGCTGGGAGAATACATAAAATCAGTCTGATTTAGAAGGTAGAAGTATGTTACAATTTTAGTATTTGCTAATAAAACTTCTCATGGTCAGTAGACTCTATGAGGGCATGCCTTTGCATGCACCAGCAGCTGCCTTTTATAACTCCACAATATTATTGTTACAGATAACACAGGGAAGACATCAACAGGCACCGTAACTGTTAGAGTGCCAGATTTCAATGAAAATTGTCCTACGGTTTTTGCTGACAAGCAAACAGTTTGTCGTACATCTGCATCAGTTATTGTCACAGCTAAGCCTCTGCCAAACCAGCCAGACACTAGACCCTTCACATTTTCCCTGGTTGAACAGCCTCAGGGAACCCCAGCCACATGGAGCATTACAACAATAAATGGTGAGGAAAATGAATTTTCTTTTTTCAATTTATTTTATTTCTTTTCATTAACAAGCATTTCATTTCTCTTCTTCCCACCTCTCCACCCCAAATGAAATGAAAAGAAAAATCCAACCCTTATAACAAATAAGCATAGTCAAGCAAAACAAATACCCATGTTGGGCCTGTCCAAAAATGTGGATCTCATTCTAAATCTTGAATCTGTCACCACTCTGTCAAGAGGCAGGTAGTGTGGATCATTAGTGGTGTTATCAAACAGTGGTTGGTCATTGCACTGACGAGAGTTCTTAAATTGTTCAAGGTTGCCTTTACAATGTTGTCATTATCATATCAATTATTCTCCTGCTTCTGTTCACTTCACTCTACCAATTCATATGCCTTCTCAGGTTTCCCTGAAATTGTCCCCTTTGTTATTTCTTATGGCAGAATAATATTCTATTACATTCATATACCATAATTTGTTCAGCCATTCCCAATTGATAAGTGTTCCTCGCCATCTAGTTTCCAGATCTTTACTGCCCCAAAAAGAATTACTATAAACAGAAAATGAATTGTCCATTCACAAATAAAAAAATGCTTCTTATTCATTTCCAGATCATTGGCAAGAGCTCATTTAGTAGGCCCTGTCCAATGACAACCAGAAAACCCCTTCAAGATCAAATATGACCATTCCACTGCCTGAGTGGAAGGTAGCTTGTCTTGTTAATGAGATATTCTCATCACGTCACTTCTCTAGTTTAAAAAAAAAAATTAAAGACAAAAACCTTCACTGGCTCCCCATTGCCTACCAAATAAAATCCGGTGAACTGATTTAAGTGAACCTAGCCACATGTCTTTTTCACACTGTATAACAGAAGCAACCAGAATGTAATACCATTTCTACATGTACCAATGGCTTTCACTCTTTGTTGATGCTGAGGTCCTGCTCTATGACTGTCTCTCTCTACCCTTTCCCTGATGATCTCATCCACTCATGTGGCTACTCTTGTGCCATCTATCCACCCCAACCTCTCCTTACATCTCAAGATATGTGCTGGATATATCTACCTACCTGTAATGTTGGCATATCGAATCCAACAGGTCCAAAACTAACCTCATTATCTTCTTCCCTAAATCAAATCTTCCTCCTAACTTTTCTGTTTCTCTTGATCATGCCACCCTCCTCCCAGTTAACTAGGCTCATAGCCATGAAGTCATCTTCTACTCTATCCCTTCTACCACCCCTTATATCTAATCAGTTGCCAAGTCTTATCAATTAGTCCTCCCTTCACAATATCCCTCCCACCCATTCCCTGATTTTGGCTCCTACCAGAATGCTTAATTAAGTACCTTGTGTTTTTTCACCTGGATTACTATGTAATCCTCCTAACTGCTTTTCCCAGCTCTAGTCTCTCCTGCTTCTAATCCTTTCTCCAAGTAATATTCCTGCCTTACACCCATACATACAAAAATATTTATAGCAGCTCTTTTTGTGGTGGCAAAGAATTGGAAATTGAGGGGATGGCCATCCATTGGAGAATGGCTGAACAAGTTGTGATATATGAATGTTATGGGATACTATTGTTCCATAAGAAATGATGAGCAAAAAAAAAAAAAAAAGAAGAAGAAATGATTAGCAGGCAGATTTCAGGAAAACCTGGAAACACTTGCATGAACTGATACTCAGTGAAGTGAGCAAAACCAGGAGAACATTGTACACCATAACAGCAACATTGTGCTATGACCAACTTTGATAGACTTAGCTCTTCTCAGCAATGCAGTAACCTAAGACAATTCCAAAAGACTCATGATGGAAAAACCTATCCACATCCAGAGAGAGAACTAGGGAGTCTGAATGCAGATCATACTATTTCTCTCTTTTATTGTGTGTGTTTTTTCTTTCTTATGGGTTTTTTTTTCCTTTTGTTCTAATTCTTCTTTCAAAACATGACTAATGTGGAAATATGTTTAATATGATTGTACATATACAGGGGTGGGGAACCTGCAGCCTCGAGGCCACATGTGGCACTCTAGGTCCTCAAGTGAGGCCCTTTGACTGAATCCAAACTTCACAGAACAAATCCCCTTAATAAAAGTATTTGTTCTATTAAACTTGGACTCAGTCAAAAGGCTGCACCCAAGAATCTAGAAGGCCACAAGTGACCTCAAGGCCACAGGTTCTCTACCCCAGTATAGCCTACATCAGATTGCATGCTATCTTGGGGATTGGGGTGGGAAGGTAGGGGGAAAAATTAGAACTTATAAATCTTATAATCTTATAAATCTTATAAAAGTGAATGTTGAAAATTAAAAATAAATAAACATACAAATAAATTTATGAAAAGAAAAAAAATTAAACATTTGTAATGACAGGGGAAAATATCCCTGCCTTACTCTGAAGATGTCATTACTCTCTTCAAAAACCTGCAACAACTTCCTATTGCCTACTGAATAAAATATAAATACATGGTGCTGGCATTCCAGGCCTCCTACAATTTGGCTCCAATCTACCTTTTCAGGCTTATCTCATACTGTTCCCACTTATTCTATATTCCAGCCAGAATGGACTACTCTATCACTTTTTCTCATCCTATACTTTACCATGCCTTTGCCATTGCTAATATGATCCTGTAAGTCTAAAATATATTCCACCCACTCCCCCTTATACCTCCATCTGTTGAGGTCTCTCCCTTCTTTCAGAGTACAATTCAAGTGGTAACTCCTTCATGAAGCATTCCCAGGTAAAAATGACTCCAAATTTCTTATACTTTACTATTATGTGTATCTCTCCTGTGCACATATTCTGCTCTCCTTTATATCGGTTATTTTTGTATATTTATTTCTCTCTTATTCCTCTTTCCTTGAGAGTAGGTTTGGTGCCACACCTTTCTTTGTATCCCCACTATGTCCACCATGGTATGAACATGATAGATACTCAATAAATATTTGTTAAGTAAAATGACTTTCTCTCACCAAGTCAGGTTTGCACATAATCAGAATACATGAATTTCAGCTCCAAAAAGAGATTATTTTAGCATGACCACACAAGATTTAGTGCCAACCTGAGCTGAAAGTTCTGTGACCAATACCCAGGCCACCAAATAAACAATAAAAAATATATGGTAAACTTGCTAAGATATTGGATAAACTTGGAGAAAAAATAAAAATAAAGTTCTACTTCAATCTCACGATGTCATATAAATTACAGTCCTGTAAGCAATCTCTGAAAGGCCCAAATAATTATTTAAGAGTGAACAGATCAAGAGCAGCTAGGTGGCGCAATAGATAGAGCACAGGCCCTGACGTCAAGAGGACCTGAGTTCAAATCTGAACTCAGACCAAACACTTGATACTAGCTGTGTGACCCTAGGCAACTTACTTAACCCCAATTGTCTAAAAATAAAAAAAAAAAGAACGAATAGATCATTTCAACTTCTTCTTAGATTTCCCAATCACCATGCTGTTCCTCTGTTCTTTTGAAAGCTTAGTCAGAGTAGTTGTGGGGAGAAAGGTAAGTGGGTATAGAACTGGGCTGTACTGTTTCATCTTACTCTGGCATCTTTGCTAGTCTCCAGACCATTTTAATCCAAACAATATCAAAAGGATTTTAAGACTTTCCAGGATTTTATTAATATGGGTAGTCCCTCCCCAACTTGGTACTGTCTCATGAGTTGTTAGGAACAACAACAAAAAAAATCACAACCTAAGGGCCTCTGGTGATGAGCCTTCTGAATTAAGATTAGATGGCCTTTAGTCTAGTCTGTCACAGGGCAAGAATTCTAAGCCTTTCTAACTCTGTAGGACCCACAAAACTTGGCATGCCACTGGTACAGCCTTGTAGGTCAAGGGTCAGCTCCATGCCCCAGTGAGGTATGAGAGGAGGACTTTAGTAGGAGGAATTCTTTAGTAGCGGAACAGCTACTTTGGCCTCCTTGAATATTATCATAAGAAGTCAATTTTAAATTTGTAACAACAATCATTATCCCTTGTGGCTTTTTTTTTCTCTGTAGATACCTCTGCAAATCTGAGAGCCCAGAGAGCACTATCTTCTGGAACACATCCACTTTCTCTCATAGTTACAGACAGGGAAGGTATAAGTTGTGAAATACCAGAGACTCTGGAATTACAAGCCTGTGACTGTGATGAGAAGCAAGTGTGTTTTAATAGAGTTCCTTCTCCAAGTATCAGACCTGACGACAGTAACAAGCAAACAGGGACACCATCGGTAGGCCTTGGTCCTGCTGGCATCGGTCTGCTCCTTCTTGGCCTGTTGATGTTGCTGTGTAAGTATTACATTCCGTTATTCTATTCTACTTCTAACATGGAAATTTAATTGAGTATTTCCAAGCTTGCAAAATGGAGAAACTTATTTTGGAAACTTCTTTTGAATGCAATATTTTTGTGTAGAATGCCTTTCCGCATAGTGTTACCTACATGCAGGAGCTGACTGCTGTAACTAGCTTGCACGTAAAACATATCTATCAATAACAAAAAAAAAATCGAATGCTGATTTCAGTATGAAGAACCATGACCATTTTCCAACATAAGTACTCACGGGGGGAAATGGTCTCTGGAGAATTTGAAGGTGTGGCTTGTCATTTGACAACAATGTTTATCTTTTCACCTCCAAGCAAATGATGTAGTTTACCCATGTAGGCAACAACACAAATTATTTAGCTCATGGTATAGCAAACACAACAATGGATTTGGAGTCCAGAAAACCTGGATTCAAATCCTGCTTCAGATACTCACTAGTTGTGCCACACTGGGAAGAAAAAAAATCACATAAGCACTCAGCCTCAGTTTCTTTTTTTGTAAAATGAGATTTATAATACTTACTATGACACTGCTAGGCAGCTAGATCATGTAATACACAGAGACCTGGGCCTCGAGGCAGGAAGACGAGTTCAAATCATGCCTCAGACATTTGAAGCTGGGTAAGTCACTTAACCTCAATTTGCCTTAGTTCCTCACCAGTAAAATAATAATAATAAACTATTTGCCTCGTAGGGTTCTTATGAGGATCAAACAAAATATTTGTAAAGTGTTTTGCAAAATTTAAGGTACTATTTATTATTATTTTTTTAAGGCAGTTGGGGTTAAGTGACTTGCCCAGGGTCACACAGCTAGTGTCAAGTGTTTGGTCTGAGGCTAAATTTGAACTCAGGTCCTCCTGACTTCAGGGCCGGTGCTCTACGCACTGTGCCACCTAGCTACCCTAGGTACTACATATTATTAGCTAACTATTTGTTTAGTGAATTAGTTGTTATTATTAGCTAGAAACAAATGAAATTACACCTGTAAAGTGCTACACAATGTCATTATTATAGCTCTCACTGGCTTCTTTTGGATGTTCAGCTATAATTTTCAATTATTTCAAATGACTGAATTTTTTTTTCATTTCTTGTAGTGGCCCCCCTTCTGCTACTATTTTGTGACTGTGGAGCAGGAGGTCTGGGTGGGGTTGGATCTGGATTTGTTCCTGTGCCAGATGGATCAGAAGGAACAATTCACCAATGGGGAATAGAAGGTGCCCAGCCACAAGATAAGGTGTGTACTTAGTTTGTAAAATATTCATTTAGATGTCATAGAGAAAACCAGATTTGGTTTTGAGGAGGGCAAGAGAAGAAGGAAGAATGAGGAGCAAAATGTACATGGTTTGGGGATCTCACCATTAGACTTGGAGCCATCACTAGGTCTCATAGGGTTTTCTGTTCTTGAGTGAAAAAAATGACAGAAATTATTACTCCCATAAAAACATATTCCATGTATTCCCATCATTTGTAGAATGTTATTATATACATATCATTATAAAATCATAGCAATTCATTTTAAAATAATAATTTTTTTGTAGGAAATCACAAATATTTGTGTGCCTCCAATAACAGCCAATGGAACTGAATTCATGGAAAATTCTGGTGAGTGAATATTTATATTATTTTTTTCCTAGACAGTAAATTTGCATTATGCAGGTTGGTTTCCACAATTGTGTGTTCTATTGCCCTTTCCCATTATATTTCTCACTGTTATCTAAAAATGAGAGGCAGCATGTTGTAGTGGATAGAAAGCCAATCTGGGAGACTGGATCTAGCCAGTTGTGACACATACTAGCTGTATAACTACAGTCAAGTCACTTAACTTATCAGCACCCCACTAGGCCATTTCCTAAGACCATAAACTACCAAATAAGTCCGCCTGGATTCCATAAGTATCTCAAACTCAACATGTCTAAAATATAACTCATCATCTTCACCAACTCCCCAAGTAAAACCTGCCTCTCTTCTTAACTTTCCTATTTCTGTCAAAGATACCACTATCCATCAAGTCACCCAGTTGGCAAATTTGGAGCAAATCTTTACTTTTTACTCTCCTTCTGTCCCCATATCTAAATGAGTTGCCAAATATTGTCTCTACCCAGAAGTGTGCTGGTAAATTTTTAATACATACTTTAAGTTTAAGTTGTATTACTAACATTTCCCCCTTCACTTTCTTAAGTCTAGATAACCAACAAAACAATAAAGCAAGCTCTGATTTTGATGCATTTGCTGATTTCTGACTTGTAAATGTTCATAATGAAAATTTAACAATCAGCTCCCATGAGCTGGATCAAGCCTGCTCTATCACACTGCTGCTTTTACCTCTGTCTCACATCTCTCTGTCTCTCTGTCTCTGTCTCTGTCTCTGTCTCTGACTCTGTCTCTGTCTCTGTCTCTCTCTCTCTCCCTCTTTCCCTCTCTCTCTTTTTCTCTCTCCCCACCCCCACATATAGGAATATCACTCTATTTCAGATTATCATTACCTCTTCTATAGACTTCCATGGACTATTGCAATAACCTCCACCTATCTCTGCTCTCTCTTTTCACCAATCTATCCTCCAAAAAGTTGCCAGATGACTATTCCTATAGTACCTGTCTGATTATTCAACTCAGAAACCCTGATACTTCAGTAGTTTCCTATTGCTTCTTTGATAAAATATAAACTCCTCTATTTGAAATTTAAAATCCTTTCAGACTGACTCCAGCTAATCTTTCAAGACAGGTTCCACATTACTGCCTTTCATTCATTCTACATTCCAACCAATTGATCTACTTGCTATTCCCTGGACACAGCATTCCTTTTCCTACCTCCATGTATTTGCACAGGCTGTGCCCCCTATGCCTAGAACGTTTTCTATCGTTATCTTCACTCTTTGGAATTCCTACCCCCCAGTTCAAGTGTCAACTGAAGTGCTACATGAGGCCTGTCCTGATCTTCCTAGTTGTTAGTACAACTAGGAACCCCTCCCAAAAAAAAGTACATTTATTTTGTAGTTATTTTGCATTTGCTTATCCTATGTATGTGGTTACCCTACCCTATTTCAGGTAAAATATAAGCTTGTTGAGGATAAGGACTGTATCATTTTTTGTCTTTGTATCCCCAGCTCTTAGCACTGTCCTGCCTATATAGATGAGGCAGCATGGTACAGTGGAAAGAATATTGGTTCTGGAATGAGAGGACTTGGGTTCAAATCCTGCCTCTGACATTACCTGTACAACCCTGGGCAAATTTCTCTATGATCCTAAATCTCAACTTCCTCATCTGTAAAATAAGGAGGTTGAACTAGATGGCTGCTAATGTCCTTTCTACCTCCAGATCTATGATCTGGAGTTAATCAAGTAAGCAGTTAATCAATGCCACTTTTCCACCATATCCATGCCATGCTGGAACTCAAGTACCACTACCCTTCCTCCCTGCCTGCCTTTCCAATATTTCTTTATGTGTTTTCTTCCCTCCATTAAAATGTAAGGTCTTTGAATATACTGAATTGAGGAATTGATCTGAATCAGTGGTAGAAATGTCTATACCAGGAGTTCCCCAGATTAATAAATTCACAGATCCAGACCAAAATTATCTTTTAAAACAATTTTTAATATTCATCTATAGTTTCCAATTAATTTTAATTTCTTCTAGAGTTCTTTTTTCCCTAGTGCCCCACTTCTGCTTCTGACAAATAGCAGCGACAGAATATGCTTATGCTCTTTTAGATACAGAATTGCATTTTCTCTCCCATTGTGGATTTACTTCCTGAATAATAACCCCAGAAATCAAAAGTCAAACAGCAAAGGGTGATGATCCATCACAGCACTGAATATAATTTTTCCCCCTATTTTTAGAAGTTTGCACAAATGCCTACGCAGCAGAGACCATCGTAGAAGGAACTCGCGGCATAGAATTAACAACCAGACTTAGAGCAGCTTCGGGGTCAGGAGGAACCACAGGCCTGGGAGGGGCTGGGTACTCAGGAACAATGAAGACAAGACATTCCACTGGAGGAACCGTTAGGGAATATCCTGAAGGAGGCGTCAATGTGACTTTCCTAGACACCTATTTCTCTCAGGTAATTGGGTCAAATTTTTTGTGGCTACGGGATAAGATATCACATTGAAAGCCTTTTCTTTGGGTCCTAATCTGCTTTTGTAAGGAGCTTTATAGAAAGCTCAAATCTCAAAACATGTTTTTAAAATGTGTTTCTATCTAAATTAGCTAAGATAAAAAGTGTTAAGAATGCTGGGACATGGTTCGAATAAGGTCAGTGTTTCAGGATCAGTCCCCGTGTGGACCAAGAGAGTTTCATAGAGAAACTCAGCTCTGATTGGTGAGCTTTCACCTAATCCTGCCCAAAACCAGACCTCCATGCCACTTTCTTGCCATTTCCACACTGTGCTGAAACACAAGTACCTACTCCCCACCCTTTCTCATGTTCCTTTATGTGTTTTATCCCCCGCTTAAAAGGTAAGGTCCTTGAGAACAGATACTATCTCGCTGGCTTGTATTTGTATCCCCGGCACTTATAAAGTACCTGTCACATAGGAAATGCTTAATCAATGCTGTATCATTAGAAAAATCATTGTACTCTGTTAATGATGTTTTCATTAATACGCTAGAGAGATAAACGAAAGCCAATGCCCTATTACTAAGGATTACTGCCCTAAATAGACTCCTATAATGAAGAGCCTGATTTCCTTATATTTGGAGGGGTGTGTGAGTCAGGTATATATGATTGTATAGACTATAAATAAACTCAAATCTTCTTGTTGGCTTTGGAGTCAAATGACCTAGGTTCAAATCTTATCTCTGATACTTTGTGGGTCACTTTGGGCAAATCATATCACCTCCACTAGCCTCAGTTTCCTTATCTGTACTAAGAGAGGGTTGGACTAGTAGTAATCTCTAAGGTCCCTTCTAGCTAGATGTAGGATCCTATGATCTTTGCTCTGAACCACCTAGTGAATATAAACAATGCCTTCATGAGATAGGAATTTTTGGTCTGTATCAATATCAACACCAGAACTCACAATTAGAGCCATAGAAATATATATTAGAAGGAGTCTTAGAGATCAGCTAGGTCAAGAAAGAATGCTCTCCAGTATCCTTGACAACGGTGTAATGAAAAAGGACTGTATTGAAAGCTAAGAGACCTAGGTTCTAGTCCTGATGTTACCATTAACTTACTGTGTGACTCTGAATAACTCATTTAGCCTCTTTTGGTCTAATTTCTTGTCCTAATGTCTCTAAATGATCTAAAACTGTACAGGTGTGATTCTAGTACTTGGTCATGCAATAATTTCTCCTAGAATACTTCTAGTGATAAGAAAAGACCTAACTATCTAACAAAATAGAATGCTGCATTTAGGAATAAACATAATTGTTAGAAAGTTTATTCTTTTATCCCTATAACTTCTACCCATTGGTTCTTCTTCTGCCCTCTAGTATTACACAAGATGTCTATCTTCTCTTTCATAAGATGACCTTACAAATACTTGAATACAGCTGGCCTATCCTTTCTAAGTGTTTTCTTTTCCAAAGTGAATATTCTCAGTAGACTGAATCATACCTCATAATGATATAGTCTTGAGGCTTCTCACTATTCTAGTCATCATTCTCAAGATGTCTGCTAGTTTGTGAGTGCCTTTTCTAAAATATGGCAGCCAGGACTGAACACAGCACTCCAAAGGTGGGCCAACTAGCCCAGAGTGCAAAACAACCCTAGCCTCCCTAGGGCTGGACTCTGGGTTTCTGTTGAGGCAGCTAAGATGGCATTAGATCTTTGAGCTGCCATATCACACTGTTAATTCAGATGGATAAGAAAAACAAACAAAAAAAAAACCTACTTGCCTCTAATATACTATCTCTTTCAAAACCTGACTTTTTAAAAAAAAGAGATTTTTAAAAAACACAAACTATGTGAAATCTAGTGACTTCAACGTTCCCACATAACAGCAGTGGGTAGCTGGTATTAGGCTTAATAAGTCCTGGCAACGTCTCAGTCACATGTCAACTGCATAATCCATGAAGACAATATATTGGTTAATTATCCATGCCAGATCTACATATAGCTGTTTTTTAATCCTTCAATAGGGAGTCACCAACTAGCACAATGTTTTTCTTCCTCTTGGTTTCTGTAACATGTTTCATAGCACCTGTTATCTGTGAATCTTTATTAGCACATGCTTTTATTAGCGATGGTCTACATTTGCATTTCACTGGGAGGGTTTCATACCTATTATGTAACTTCAGCAATTCAGACTTTCTTCTCTTTTCCTTTCTTTGCTATACTGTTTTCTTCAAATTACAAGATACTTGATGTTAGTATCAATAGCATCCATCTCATCAATTTCCCCCCCGCCCGGCTTCCTTAATAGAGCCATTTTCCCTGTCCTATACATGAAAATTGTATCTTCTCTAATATATTAGAACAAAAAGAGATGTTTCTCAGGCTACTCATCTTTCACTCAAACTGGAAGTACAACTTGCATTTCATCAACACATCATTGGTGAGTGCTTCTGGAAAGAAGACAAAGGTAGCACACCTTTTGATCACTGGAACAATGCCCTTGGTTTCTGTACTTCTTGAAGTACAGCAATTTATGGCTCCCCTTGGAAATCCTCTTTTAAAAGTGCAAGAAGTCCACAGTCATTTCTTAAGAAATGACTTTCAGACAATTAGGTTGTTGGAACACAGAGCTTCACGTGAAGTGTGCTCTATGGAAAACTATCAGGAAGGAGTTTTTTGTTATTGTTTGGGGGGGTTGTTTGTTCGTTTTTTACTAAGACCCTTTTACTGAAGAAAATTTACCTTGACATAGGTGAGCACTCAGGCTAGTCATTACATTTTTGTTAAGCTATAAAGGTCTCTGAAAAGGTTGGGCTCTAAAATTATAAGAAGGCTAGTTCTGTACCTGTATGAAAAATATAGTTCACAGGGATCAAGAAAGCTAGAAGGGATCTTAGACATCACCCCATCCAGTGCTTGTATCTTTCAGATTGGGAAGACAATGATATTTCTAATAGCTTAAAAATTAAAACTATCTCTTCTCCCATGCTGTTTCCCATCCCCAACAAACTCTGACAATTATCTATCCCCTGGTAACTTTTTTTTGGTAACCAGACAAGTAGTGTATCTGTGGTAAATACCAACCACATCTGTTTTGTAGCACCAGTGTCTGTGCAAAGAAGTCTGAAATATAATTTGAATGCCAAGGATATCATTCCAGTCCAAAGGTTGAAGGATTGTCTTATATAAGATGGATTATAGTTGTTTTGCTTGACCCTGGAGAGCATAACAAGGACCAACATGTGATCAAATTAATTTTTTTTAAATACTTCATTTTTCTCTACTTTTCTCTGTTTTTAGAAAGCATTTGCCTGCACAGAGGAAGATGACAGTCAAGGAATAAGTGACTGCCTCTTAATCTATGATGATGAAGGAGTAGAACCTCCTAGTTCTCCCATAGGCTGCTGTAGTTTTATTGCAGATGATTTTGATGAGAGCTTTTTGGATTCCTTAGGGCCAAAATTTAAGAAGCTGGCAGATATAAGCATGGGTATCGATGATGAAACCAAACTCTCTCAGGTACCTGGGAAAACAAACATTAGTACAACTGAAATACCTGGATCACTGTCAGCATCTGCTATGTCCACCAATGCTACCTGTCAGCCTATTACCAATGTTACCTGTCAGCCTACCACCGATGTTACCTGTCAGTCTACCACCAATGTTACCTGTCAGCCTACCACCAATGTTACCTGTCAACTTGCTGCAGGATCAACTTTCTATAGCAATGAAACTTCGACTCTCTCTGCTTCTGGGTCTATCTTGCAGCCTGCAATTCCAATACCTGATCCTTTGCTCCAGGGCAATTTCTTGATGACTGAATCTTATACTGCTTCTAGTTCATTCCTTCAGCCTTCCAGTGTAGTCTTTGATCCTCAGCTCACAGAAAATGTGACAGTGACAGAAAGAGTGATTTGCCCCATTTCAGGTGTTTCTGGCATTCAAGGCAATTTACATGGTTCTGCTCAGTTGGCAGGGTCATGTAATGTGACCTGCACAGAGGATCCATGTTCTCGACTGATATGACCAAGATTAACTGGAATGGAATAATGACAAAACTTGGCCATTTTGTCCTATTACATAGCCCAAAGACATTATTGGCTGTTTTTATCCAATGACTAGGATTATGACCCAAATTCTTTAACTCAGACAATAATATGTTGTTGTGGTTGATATAAAAACAGTACTTGAATTATGGGAATTCTGACATCAAAAAGAAACCTAGTAACATTTTCACCAGGCAAAACTGTGTGAAGTTTTGAATCATTCTCTTTTTGCAATGCCAATAAGGGCAGCATAGCATAGTACACAGAGGACCACCCACAGAGTCAGGAAGACCCGGGTTCCAGTTCTGTCTCTGACATGTACTGGCTCTGTGATCATGGGTAAATCACTTTATCTAGTAGTCACCCATACTACTCTCTAAGACACTAAGTTACAAACAAGTTGCTCATATGTACTGGTGGAGGGAGTTTCTAGACCAGGCTTTCCTTAACCTAATAAAATTAGAGGTCCTAACAAAAAAAAAAATTAATGAAGGTAAAATTAGTAGATACATACTTCCAAAAGCAATGCTTTTTGGAAGAGAGTTCAGCCCCAACTTTGAAGACAGGAGAAATGGGGTTTCTTCTTGACTGTCACTCTTTCTTATGCCTTACTATGTTGTAGGCATCAAAAGCTGTCTTCAGAAGCACTTTGAGCTGCTAGGAGAGAAAAATAATAGTATATGTTCAATGTCATCTGTCTCATCTCTGGTGTTGGGAGACATTTGTGTAAAACAGATATATGAAAGTACTGTTTTTATGCATTGAGCTTTTGTTAGATCTCCCATACTTATCAGAAAATAAGCAAATTGTATATTTAGGACATGCTGAAATATTTAAGAAATATTAGAAGTATGTAAACAAACTGTTGTTGATTTGTGAGCAATAGCTAATATATTCTAACACCTTGAAAGAATCCAAAGGTTCCATTCTATAGTTGACATTTATGGCTTCAAGTACTTCTCATAGTGAGAGGTAAGCATGGTAATAAGTCTTTGGAAAAGGGCTCCATTTTTAAAAAAAAAAAGTGTTAGTGGAAAGATGTCATCTGTCTAGGTGGTCAGCACATAATGGGGATGACATGAGGATTCTCATAGTAGGTGGCCCGTGATTGTGATAGACATATTCATTGGCATCCTAAACAGTCTTTCTGGAAAACTCATCACCAGATCACTTTCTGAAAAATCACATGGATGTGGCAAGGCATCAGCAAGGGCCACTTTTTAAATGCTAGTGGCACTAGCTCTACAGCTATGATAAATGCAGCAATTCTGTGCCCTGCCAGAGGAGGGTGAATTGAGCTTTGAAAGGTTAGAACATATTGCCATGAAGTTGAATATTGTTCTCTTAGTTTTTCAAGCCTTCCCACTCATTCAAGAAATTCAACCGTTAGATTATAGAGACTGGCATAGCCCACCCTTTTATGCATACTCTTACCTTATTTGAGACCCTAAAAGATTACTGTCAAACTCCATAACTTCTCATTTTTCATAAAATGTATATTTGCTTTTCTCCGCAGTTTCTAGACATAGTCCAGCAGATATTTTGTTACTTCCTTCAGATTCAATGGAAAGTAACAGAATTTGAGAATTGCTTATTATGGAATTTCAGAATTGTTCTCTGTAGGAGAGCACCAACTCTACAATTCATAGAGGTGAATGAACACCCTGCAGTTCTCTCTCCTATGGCCCTTAATAAAAGTTCGAGTGCTGAATAAGTGAAAGACATTCAGTGCAACTTGATAAGTATTTACTGAAGGTCTTCTCCAGGATAAGATCTGCCCTACTCTTTCATCAAAGAGGTAGAAGTGGCTTACCTTGAAGCACAAGAGTGCCACTGTCGATATAACAGCAGTAGTAAAGAGAAAGCTGACATAGTGCTGCCATTGGGAAGACTGTCAAAAAGAAACTGGGTCTAGGGAATACACAACTTTGGCACTATATATATGAAAGTGCACCATTTTTCATCAGTGGTCAAAGTGTCTATCTATGCACCTTCAGGGTAGTTTTACCTCCTTCCTAATCCTAGAATATCAAACTTCTTATGTAGTAAGAATGTGTTTTATTACATTAACAAGAAACAGAAAAAAAAACAATAGGAATTTGTATAGTATAATGGAAAGAGTATTAGATTAGGAACCCAAAAATGTGGATCATAGTCCTACCACTATCATTAACTGGCTGCGTGACTTCCCATACCTCCTTTTGCCTCAGTTTCTCTATCAGCAAAATTAGGTGGTTGGACTAGATGATCTATAGGTCCTTTCTGGTTCCATAGCTTTATGAATACTTAGGGGGAAAGGTTTCTGTTTGCTGTGGGGAGTGGAATTTTGTTTAAATAAGATGTTTATATAAATGAAAAATTAAGATGAATTATGTTTTAGGTTGAAAAGGTGCTGTTCTTTGAGTTTCCACGTTGAATTCAATTCAACACTAAGATGTTTCTTATTTTGGTACTTTTTTTCACCAAAGTAAAATTTGAGGTAAAGACAACAAGAAAAAAGTTGGATATTTTTATTTGTATGTATTATTAATTCTAAATAGCAAATGTGTATCCTTTAACAATGGAACTTTGTTATATTAAAATATTTTTTGCCAAATTTCTGTTTCGTGAATATTTTCTTAATTATTTAGTATAAGTCAAAGCATTATCCACAAATCATAGTTGCTGGACTCAGAGCTACAAGAAAATAAAGGTATGTCACTGGGGGTGGAGAGAACTGAAACTAAATCTGATTTTTTAAAATCAACATTTCACTCTCTCCCAATATTTCACTGTCACCCTTTCTTATGCCATAATATGTTGCAGGCATCAAAAGCTGTCTTCAGCAGCACTTTGAGCATCTTGGAGAGAAAAATGACAGTATATATTCAAAGTAGTTTGTCTTATCTCTTAGTGTTGGGAGACATTCGTGTAAAATATAGGCACATGGATAGGGATAGGTCAGCCTCTGATCATGCTCAGACCATACTGGGGATAGTCAAGACAGGAGCTTATAATTGGCTGTGGATTTTGAAAGTGGTTCCTTTTTTCTCAATCTGTCCTCTAAGCAAAACCCTGACATTCCATTGGGAATGTGTCACAGAGGTGAAAAAAATAAAGAACAGATAACTGTACTCTCCGACCTGGTACAGATGAGGGCAGAGGAAGGGAAAGAAGAAGAAGAGAAAGTACCTCTATTGTGCTAGAGAAACCTACCAAACACAGATGCTTTTGCACTGGATATGGATTGCATTCAAAGAACCCCTATGGTTTTAAAAAGAAAAATGTTGATTATTGTCAAAACTGTCTAGCTGATTCTTCAGGAAGACATCTTTTAATTCAGACTTGCAAGTAAGGTAAGTATAAAAAATGTTACCTATTTGCATAGCTCTGCCCCACTTACATCCAATTCACGAGCAAGTCAAGTCATTACCCTCCTGATGTCATTGCTGAGAATGAAGGGTAAACAAAAACAACCTATTTGCCATTTTTATTGGAAGCACAAGGAATAAGAAGAATAAAATCAATGTTTTATTACCATAACTTTTGAAAACTGGTACTTGCCCAGTTATGTGGGTAAATTACTATTTGCTTTTGGTGAGCTAGAAGATTCAACTTGAAATGACCAAGAGAGTAAGAAATGCAAGGTAAGTACATGTCTTCCTCCTTCATACTACAAAAGGTAAAGTTGAAACTCTCCAATTTATGATCTGTTCACATGTGCGGGAACACTCTCTGTGGGAGAAAAAAAATCAGAAGAAAGTAACAACAATAATTTAAATAAATTTCAGGTGTCTGAAGCTGAGCCATTTTTTATGAAAAATTCAGATCTCCTTTCTCTGCTTTTCCTGAGCCTAGGTTTGCTGACATTTCAAGTATAACGTAAGACATTTGACATGCCTTGAGTATTCTCTTTTCCTTTGGCTTATTTGATTTGATTCCATTTTCAAGGTTCATTTTTGTTTTGCAAGCATCCAGAAATCTCATTGCAAGTTGGAGAAGTGAGTTAGAATCCATGGGAATAAAATTCATATTTGACATTGGGGGAAGAAATGGGAAATCTCCATGCACCGAGGAAAACACCACATGACAATGCTTTTGTGTCAATCAATGATAGCCGAAGTGCATGAAAAATTAGTGAAGTAGACCAAATATAAGTAAATATGCTATACTGGAACCCAGAGACCACCCTCCTACTCTTTACTGTACAGGCCTTGACTAGCCTCTTGGATTTGGTAGGCATCTAGGAGCAGCTATTCCTTGCCTAAACAGAACATGGGAGTTGTGACAATCTGGTCTCCCCCATTAAAATGTGATTTCATTGAGGGGTGGGGGAGGGAACTGTTTTTGCGTTTCTTAATAAGTCTCACACTTAGTACAGTACCAGTGCCTAGTTTAATAAAATGCTTGTCAACTCATTGCCTTGGCCATGATGTGCAGATGAGTAGGGAGCATATTACCATAGCTGAGACATGCAGATCATGCCTCTGTGGTGACCAGCTTTCTTTCCCCATTAGTGTAGTGTTCTTTTACATGGGGACTGGAGGCTGAACCCTATTGCCCCCAGTAGGAGATAAGTTTCTCAAGGACAAGGGCCATATCATTTTGGGATGGGTTGTAGTTTGCTGTTGTTTTTAATTTTTATATCCCTAGTTCCTCACACAGTACCTGCTCTTTAGAATCATAGATTTAGATTCAGAAGAGATCATCTAGGGGCAGCTAAGTGGCGCAGTGGATAGAGCACTGGCCCTGAAGTCAGGAGGACCTGAGTTCAAATCTGGCCTCAGACTAAACACTTGACACTTACTAGCTGGGTGACCCTGGGCAAGTCACTTAACCCCAATTGCTTAAAAAAAAGTAATCGTCTAGTCTAAGCTCCCTCATTTTACAGATGATGAAATTGAAGCTTAGAGAGGTTTAATGACTTGACCAAGGTCTCAGGCAGTAAATGTCAAAATTAGGATTCAAACTCAGGTCCCCAGTAACTGAATGTGAATTCAGTGTTCTCTCCATCATACCACACTGGGCACTGAACAAATACTTGATGAGTTGAAGATACAATGATAATTCTAGGCGCCATAGTTTAAAAGACAATAAAGGCAACTATGAAAAGTCCACAGAACAATATAAACTAATGAAGAATTGGAAAAACCAGAACTAATCTGGAAGATTAAATTGGTTTACACAATCTGGTCAAAACAATAGGGAAAGTAATGGGCACTTAGGTGTTCTGATTTCAAATGGAGTTAACTTGTGGATGATAAGGACCGGCTCTTCTCCCATCTCAGCACACTATGCACAGTATAGGACTCTCTAAGGAACAAGTCCAGCATATGTGGGTAAACAAACACTGACCTCACAGAAATGTAATAGAAACAAAATATCTCAGCTTTCATAATGATGGGGCAGAAAGACTCCAAGTCCTAAGGGGTTAGGGGTAAAACCTCTAAGTCCCCACAAGGGAGCCAAAAGAAAATCAAGCCCCCTTGTCACATCTAAGAGCACCTCTGGTTGACTAATTACTGCCATAAGTACATGGCATCTGAAGAACATGGCTTGTCTAGGCAAGCCTGAGCCTGGGTTTGGGCTGCTCTTTTTGTGTTTGTCCTTTCTTGATCTTGGGCAAACAAGTAATAGTGCCATGATTTACACATCCACATTAAGAGGCTGCCTTGTGAATTCAACAAGTCCAGAGGTCCCTGGGTCCCATTGGGTCAGAGTCCCCAGCAAGTACTCCAGTACTCTTGGAGAAGACAGCTCCTGATAGCATTAGTCCAGGGAGGAGAGTTTTCCCAGTAGGCATATACCAGGAGTTGTTTGGACAGCGCAGAACCAAGGTAAAACGTAAAACGCTTAGTCTTGCAAATTACTTTATGTTCTGATGAAGTTCAATTATCAGTCTCCCAGCAGATTCTAATAGCAGTTGCTGAAATCTATTTGTCATTCTGTTAATGTGTGCTGTGAATCTTTTGTGTTTAGTATTTCTTTTGTGTGTAGGACTAAATTTGCTGTCCCACACCTGATTCATGCTGCACAATGAGTGCC